AATTTTGATAAATCAAGGTATGTCCCTAGCATGCATATCTGTCATAGTTCTTCTTATGCCAGACTGGTGCCTCCTAAGTCTGAGAGCAGGATTTTTCTGTAAGCCATGGCAGCTCTCCTGCATTTTGCCTTGAACGTTGTGTCTCTGCAAAGATTTCCTGTTTTGTTGTCTTTCACCCTGTTACCTCACGTCCAGTATTACCCTGTGGATGTGAGGTAACACAGCAAGTATTGATTGGGTTACATTAGGTTGTATAAATGCATATAGTGTTGGGTTTTACCCCCATAATTTCTATGTTTTGGAAGAGTAAGTGCTTTTGAAATACTCCCTGGGAACATATGCAGACTCTGCAACGAACTGGTGGGGCAGGTCAGTCTTTTTCATCCTAGCACCCACTTTTACATAACTGAACAGCACATCTCTCATGGGGCTGCATCTCAGCTCCCCTTTCAGTATTGGTGGGAAAGGATGCGTAGGTGTAGCACTGTGTGACTGTTGAGGACCATCGAGCCACGATTTTAGCAGCAGTAGCGAAGACAAGCATCTTGAGATCACCCTAGAACTCTGCAACATCACAGTTTGCCTTCCTGAGTTCTGCTCTCCCCATTTGTAAAATAAAAATGACATCCACCTGCCCACCTTTACCTTACTTTGTGCTGTGAAGTCGAAGCTGTTAAGATAGCAAGAGTAATGAGTTCTGTGAAGTTCTATTGCTCTATGGATGGTATGTATGTTCATGGTTTCTGTTGGTAGTTTTGTCATTTTGTGTTTCTTTGTATACATATCTGCACAGAAATTGGTGTCAATGAAAAGAAGATCAGGTAAATATGTCCCCTTTCCATTTATTTTTTAGCATCAGACCTGTTCATCTTGAGTTTTCATGCTGAAGTATTTTCACCTAAAGGCTGTGTTGCATTTTTACAGAACATGAGTATACAAAGGTAAGACTACAAAACGCAAAAAGAGACACCCGGATACATCATGTCACAGTAAGAAGTCCCTTAGGTGTGTTCCAAAAGAATATAGATTCCTTGAAATAATAAATAAAAAAAAAAAAAGAGAATAGATTTCTTGAAAAACAAGGAAAGAACTTGAAAGTCTGAATGGCAGGATATGTTTGCAGTACAGATGATATTAAAATATTTCATCTCTTCAACCTCTAGGGGGGACTATGTTTTCAGCGAACCTGTCTGTTAAGAATTTTCTTAATCTGCGGCAGGCTGTTCAGACTGTTGCTAAAGCTAGCTGGAGCGAGTCAAGTGATTCTAGATTTGTGTATGAGCTATTCCTGGGGGGAAAATAGCCTGTGTCTGAAATGACCTTAGTCCTAAAGGGCCAGCCTGAAATCTCTGCTCTCGCTGCAGGCCACGGGCATTCTGCCTGCTACTGATTCACAACTGCAGGATTTGTTCCAATTAAAAAGCATTTATGTGGCTGAAAAAAATAATGTCTGTGGAGAAATGTTGGATTTATAGCTATGGAAAATACTGTAAGTGAACTAATGATGAAGTGGATTAAGTGACATTTTGAATTGGGATTAACAAGTAAATTCTCATGCATAACTTTCTGGCTCAGAAAAATAAATCAATCGCTGGCTGGGGTTCTTCTTTATAAAACTGCTTATGGTGAAGGGGAACAACTGAAACGTTCATGATGCTTTGGGCCCAGAGAGACACTGTGACTCCCATAAGGCTGAATGCAATTGCTCAGACGAGTCAGGACCACATACAGTGGGCCAAACCTTTTTCTGAAAGCATCAGAATTGGTCTTGATGCTACCACTGCTACACGGTACTGGTTAGATGCCTTTTGCTTCGTTTTCCCCTCGCATTGGCGCTGCTTCTCCCACTCTTATTCATTCCCAGCAGTACTTTACCTCACAAGGAGCAGCCAGTGTGAAGGGATGGCAGCCCTGTGATTTATGGGCTTACTATCTCTTCCGCTGTGTTTACACAGCTTACGCTCAAATAAGACGGCTAGGAGAGTATGGAGCTCACACGTAAAATGAAAAAGATATTCTGGTGGGGGAATGAGGGAATCAAGAGAGATCCGTCCAGATTTCAGTGTTGTAAACACATCTGTAGGGTCACCATAAAGCAGTGACTACAAAGGTCAGCATTTCAAAATGTGTCTTAAAAAAATGTTTTTGCAAGCTTTGTGGTGAAGATGGCTGGCGTGTTGTATATTGTAACATTCTGCTTAATCTCCGCTATGTTATACGGAGTCATTTACAACAAAAAATGCCTGACATAACTTACAGTACAGGAACATACAAAACCAGCTTCACCAGGGTGGATGTTTATGTAATCTTCAAGAACACTCTGAAGTTCGATTCAGTAATCAAATAAAACTACGTGAGAGGCACATTTCTCAGAGACGCTACCCATCTTTGAATTTCTGAGCTTCTTTATTTTACTGAGCCCCATTAGATAAATGCTTCTGAAAAAAAAAAAGAAAAAAAAGAAAGATTTTTTTAAGGATTATTTCTCTACATCATGTTATCTGCTGTTTTCATTCCACTTCTTGGTTTTAACTGCACAAACGCTTCCAGCTATCTTTTCTTTTTAATCGAGGCATTTTGAAGGTGAGCAGATGGTCACCCCAGGAGCACAGGTTTCCCGTTCATAGACTGCACAGTGAAGGCAGCGACAAAAGTAAGCTTACACATACTGCCCTGACAACGACCTCTGTGCTGAACTAGACAAACCCCTTCTGTAAAGCCAGGAGCAGTTCACTCACCTTTCCAATGCAAACCTGGCACTCTCTGAGTAACCATAAAACACCAAACCGCGCAACCTTGCCCTGGGTTTGAGGATGCGTGCTGTTACAGGGCACAGAAAACTCCACAGAGAGCCATCCTTTAGGATTTTGCTGTCAAAAAGCATCAGGTATTCCAAAGCCTCTTTCACAAAACGTTTTGCACATTTTGCGTTGACTTTATTCTTTATTCCAGAACAGGAGTGCCCATTTTAAATGGATACTAACAAAATCTTAAGCATAGCAGCCCTCTGGCCAGCAAGCAGAGGTGAACAGGCATGCATTTAACATATTCTGACCAGGCAGTGCAGTCAAGATAATTCAAAAAGTTATTTTCCTTTTTTTTTCCCAAGAAAATAATCTCAGAACAGGACTTGTCTCCTTTGCTGGGTCATCCTCCACTGCTTGGGGCATGAAATTGTGTCTTTGAGACACAGTGGGTGGGAAGCGACAGAAAACTCCACCTGGGCCCTCTTGGCATGGGGGTCTCAGAAAGACCCCAGAGGGATACAGGCAGGGGTCAGGCATGCAGTGATGGATTCCCCATAGGGTTGTGCCATCCCTGAGCATGGGCACCTTTCGGCATAAGGAGATGGGAACTGGGGAGCCCTGCTTGTACCCTGCTGCCTGTGTCCCCCACTGCTGATGCTGCAACCCCCCCTTCCCCCAAATCCCCCAGCCCTGCCAAGCACCGACCCCTGAGCCCCCGGGGGGCGGGGGGAGGGACGGGG